GGTTGTCTACCTAGTCATGCGTTCACCGCACGCCGTGCTATCGCGAACTTACAGACGACTATATATCCCGCACTTGCTGTGTCCCACTTCTTACGTGTCTACCCAAGTTCAAGATGTCTGTGACCGACCATAACCTAAAAGAATCATGTCACAGTATTATGCGCGACTGGGACATATGGTTCTACGAAGGTTGCGACCCAGCTTTTGTAGAAGCCAGGCCCACCTATCTCGCATCCTCGGAAGACCGCCAGGTCGCCTTGCTAGCCATGTATAAGCCAGACGCCTTTCCTCAAGGCGACGGAGTACATGTAAACATGAGAAGTCCGAAGCTGAAGGACGCTTTAGATGACCTGGCAAGAGAGCATGGTTTAGTAGGTTGTTTAAGACATCCACGGCACCAAATCGCGTTTTGGTTTTGCAGATGTGAGTCTGATATGTGCAATTTGAGCGCGAATGACCCAAGCAGAGCTCTAATCTTTTGTTATCCATAGTGGCAGACTACGAAGCGGGCGATAGGATGGGATGGGACGACTTACCACTCGGCGTTATTCTCCTTGATGGTCTAATTCTACTCGGCCCTCCTGAGAGTGCTGGCTTGTGAAAGGCACAGATGAAGGTTGGGATATCGTGGTTGAGCTAAAGAGTGGCGGGTACGCGTTTTATACGTGAATGATTTGTGGAACATACAGACGATAAGACTCCCATTCAAGAAGGGTGCAACTCTTGTCGGTGGGCCTTTGTCAGTGGCACGTATTGGTCGACCATACAAGCATCTTTTAGCTCTCTGGCTCATGCCTTCTTTGTTCTGTGGACTGCATATTGTGACGGCTGTCGTTGATAGCCCGTAGAAGCCTCTCACGGTCAAAGTCACATCCCAATGCAATGCGCAGTCATGTCTGAATCATTTCATTTCGTGTATGTCCAGCTTCGAGAGCTGTTTCATAGCCACACGTCTGTTCAGACCGTTGACACTCCTTTTATAATCTTTTTGTGGACCAAGCCCTTATGCGGCGATGGTAACCTCAACCTCGACACCGGCCTCGATGTTGATGATGATCTGCTTGACAACCTCGGTGGGAGCGTGGAGGTCGATGAGGCCTAAGTCCACAATTAGCTGCTGTCCGGTCGACTGTCTGGAGTGGTATGCACTTACGCTTGTGGATGCGCATCTCGTAGGTGTCCCAGGTCTTGGAACCCTCACCGCAAGGAGTCTTACGGGTGGTGATCTTCAAGTGCTTGGTGGGCAGGCGGACGGGGCCCTTGACGCGGAGCTCCTTGTTCTTGGCACGGTCGATGAGCTCCTGGCAGACCTTCTCGAGGCTCTTGACGTTGCGGGAGGTGAGGGTGATGCGGATCTGAACGCGCAGTCAGTACACAGCCTCGTGTGCATAGAATACATGGCGACGTACCTTGTGGATCTTGGGGCCCTCGCCGAAGTCCTTCTCGCCCTTGTTGTAAGACATCTTGTCGGATTGGAGTGTGGTGTTGTTGTAGGTTCTGAGTTAGATTCCAGTCACGACCTGGATCCTTGATCGCGGTAATGTGATGACTGGGGTGGCGTTAAAATTTGCGACGGCGTTCGGAGTCGTCAAGTTCTTCGCGATGCGCATTTTCGATCTGTGGGCGATGCGCGCCAAGATTGCGGACGCTAGTGCCGTAACTGGTATCGCTCCCTTTTGATCGCTCGGCAGGCGGGCCCATGAGCCATCATGACTGCATGACTGCAGACAAACAACAGAAATTGAACCTTTTAAACACTTCGAGCGTTACACATACTGTGCACTGTACCTCTGAGCCCGGCCTTGGATTTCGTCTTTCAACGTCACCAACAGAGATGTCGCTACCCCACTTCGCGCCATTCCCAGACGCAAAAGTCAGAAAGAGCATACTGCCCGACGAATGGCAGTTGTACCTGGATTCGTGGGCTTCGCTATCTGAGCTCTATCTGAGATTAGAGGACCAAAAGTTCTCGGAGGCGACCAAAGAGGAGAGCTCTCTCACGCAGTTTCTCCTGTCTTTCTTTCATGAACTGGCCCTGGACGATGAGCTAGCAGCTAAAGTTGCGTCATTACGAAAGAAAACTTTCTTTTTATTACACAGAATTCTTTCCAAAGAAGAGATACCCACTCCATTGCTCAGCTGGTCAGCCCTATCTGACATCTGTCATGCGTATCCAAAGAGCGAGCAGTTCCGTACGCTCTTGCAAGGGTCATGGAAGCGAAAGGGTGCGGCAATCGAGAAGTCGTTACAGACAGCGAAAACGTCTCTAATCCGGAACTTGGAATCAAAGCGACCGGAAGAGGCCGAAAAGACACTTGATCGGATCGCACCTCTTCTCAGAGCCTCGGCAGATGCCAGCGTGTTCATGCTCACAGGGTCCGACTTCCTTGACTCTCTGCTCTCCGCATACCCACAAGTACCGAAATCAATGCAGAAGAAGCTGGTTACGACTGCATATCTTGGCCTGACAGCCGCATTAGAAGGACCAAAGTCGAATTACTCATTGCTCTCCGATCACCTGTACAGCCTAAAATCCAGTGAGGAGCAAGATCAGAAGAAGGAGCCTGGCAAGAAGACATTGGTTGCTGATCTTGTCACCAACACACCGCTACTGGAAAAGATAAGAGAAAAAGCTACTACTCCGGAAGCAACAAGAGTGAAGAATACTGCAGCATCGTTGAGCGCATTTCGGCAGTCTAGTCTAGCTCGGCCGAAGAGGTTGATTCGACGAAAGGTAGACAAAGGCAAAGCAGCAGCAGATCAAGATAGCTATGGCCACGGAGCATTCACCGGCGAGATACACGTCCACCGGATGAGTATGATTAGCCAGATCCAGGATCTCTTTCCAGACCTGGGTGCAGGCTTCATTGTCAAGTGCTTGGATGAGTACAACGACGACATCGAGCAGGTTACCGCACATCTTTTGGAAGATTCGTTACCGCCACACCTAATCGAGGCTGATCGGAGCGAGAAACTGTAAGCACTTCCACTTGAGCTTCTGCTATCATAGCTTTGATCAAACATACTAACCTATACTAGACCCACACCGACAACAGCCTCACAGCCAATGCCACCACCGAGATCAAGCCAACACCTCCCAGAACGGCGCAACGTATTTGACGACGACGAATTCGACAGGCTTGCAGTTGACACATCGCGATTCCACATTGGTCGCAGAGGTCAGGATTCGACTGCCGATAAAATCTTGTCCGACCGCAGTAAAGCGCCCGCCAAATCCGCAATCATGGCTGCGCTGGCTGCCTTTGATTCAGATGACGACGAGCGGGATGACACGTACGATGCAGAAGACGTTGGCGCATCTGTCGACACTGCCGCACACGGACCTGGCGAGGATGCCGACTTGGGCGACAAGAATGAAGAAGCCCTATTCCGCGCTTACACCATGACACCTGAGCTGTTCGGTCGTGAGTCGGAGACAAGGCGGGGTAAAGCTCGAACAGCCCTCAAGAGCGAAACTGGTATGACCGACGAAGCAATCGAAGGCTGGGCCATCATGATGGGGCGCAATCCTCGCGCACTGCGGCGGCTCGAAGCGAAGTTTTCCAATTTCCAGGGTCAGCAGCGAGAGCTTCAATCAACAGCATGGCGGGACAGCCCTGCAGGATCTGGCGACGAAGCGAGTGGTGATGGGCAAGGGGGTCGCGGCGGCAGAGGAAGAGGCAGAGGGCGCGGACGTGGTGGCCCAGGTGGTGGACGAGGTGGTGCCAGCGTCGCAGGTCCTGCTGACGACAAAGGTACGCAAATATCACGGCAGCGCAAGGAGGCCAACAAGGGCTCAAGTGCGAACCATAACCGGAAAGCTCAACGAGGCAAGAAGATGGCCCGAGCAGGTTTCCCGGCAAGTTGAGGGGACATACTGTTCACTCAGGTCAGGAAGCAACAGTTTATCCTTTGCATTCAGAAATATATCTACACATCTCAGACGAGGCTGCAGCCGTACCTTGAATGCAAAAAGCGTAGTAGCATCACCATAACCTAACGATATCGGGATCAACCACCCTATCGCCCAACCCCGCATCTTTACCCAAAAAGTCACCCAAGCCACGCAACCCTATCCCCTATCATTCCATCCCCTCTCCCAAAAAAAAAGGCGCGTAGCTAAGAAGCTCTCCGACGGGGAATCGACTGTTTGCATGATTAGGTCAAAGCTGAAGACACTCCTGAATAGGTAGTACATACACCCCGGTCTCCCGCGCTTGTAAACACTTCGTGAACATTTGACAAGCGGAAATCATGACCACTAGACCATCGAAGATGTTGCTGTTACCGTCACATGACGTAAGCAGATGGATATGTGTGTTTGATGAGAGAAAGCCCAAATGATGCATCTATATTTCCTGAAATCATGGTTTTGAGGGGGTTTGGCCTGGGTAGCAAGTATCACGCGGTCAACACCAACGGTTGGGATGCGGGGTAGGCTCGTGGTGCCATGTGGTGATGGCACCCGGGCTTACCGGATATCAGTCAGCCAGTTGGGGGGCGCAGGGTCGTGGATGGGACTTGCATGGCTGGGTTTTGTGGCTGGGAATTTTAGTCGGCTGATGTGGGAAACTTCAAAAACGCGTGCGCGACTGCGCGGCATGCTGGAATGAGACGCGACGACGACATACAAACGTTCGGCGGAAATCATAGAAAGCATCGTAGGGCACTCAAGCGTGTTCTCTGTTTTTTTGTAACGCGAGAGGCAAACATTGGCCCCTTTAACCGCTTCCGTGCGTGCCAAAACGCTGATTCGCTTAGGTCTTTGGGCGTAGTTCGCGCGCAAGGGGCCTGCGCAGTACTCCCTGAAGGTGTCCTCAGCAACTCCCCACCTATGCATCGCATCACATCGCATCACATCGCATCACACATTGGACTCATCAAATTAACGGTACCACCATCTATTCAGCGCATTATTTGCGCGGTGTCTTCATGAAGTCGTGATAACCGAGCACCTCTCCACTGAAAGGCCGGTACAGGACGTAGCACCACACCACTACTCAAAGTCGGCGCAAATACCCGTTGTTGTACTTCCACAACTGCTCCAAGCACACCGCAGCAGCAACGTACTTCCAGCTCCTCAACGTGCGGTAGTTCTCCCAACCATCCGTCTCCAGCGCGACCATGAAGCACGCAATGGAGCGCGGCAACGCCTCAGAATCCGCATCCTCGTCCCAGTCTCCATCGCCCATTACTATGCTCTTGATCATGTCGCTGACATCGCGATTGAAGCGTTCTTGAACCTCGAGGTTGGCCTCGCGGACGTAGCGGGATGGTGCACGATCTTTCTTGCCAAGGATGTTACCACTAAACACCTCAAGCTCGGTAAGACGTGAGCCTCGAGACGGACGATGTGTGTCCATGATTTCGAACATGTTCTCTTCGTACGCTTCACGGAGTTGTTCTGCGAAATCCCAATGATGTTCCCATTGTACTCCACGGGTCTCTCGGATCACATATCGCTTGAGTTTCTGCACCAGCGTCTCATCACCCCGGCGATGGTGAGATGTTCGGTAGGCATTCTTCATCTTATCGAAGAACGTCTTTTCGTCGATACGCCGATACAGAACGCCTAGGATCTTTGTGCTTGTGTAGTATGAACTCCTTGGTTTCTCAGCATTTAGCACACTCACTTCGTCGAGCTCGTCGCCCTCAAGCTCCTCGAGTTCAGCTGCGCCCAAGTCGTTGACGATAAGGTTCGATCCTGGCGCCATGAAGTCAGGGCGGATGTGATCAGAACCCGGCGGTATCTGAGTCATTTTGGCAGGAATCCCAGATTTGCCAAAGTCAACGGCATCGGATGCGAGCTTGGCAAGAAGCAGGCAGTCTGCATCTAGAGTGCCAAAAGGAGCCTTATCAGCGCGAATCTTGTGTTTGTTCGAAATCTGTCCCAATCGATCCATGTTCATGTATTCGATAAAGAAGTCAACGATATCGTCGGCAGTTACCGGCCGCCCCAAATCCTTTGCCGGCGTGGATGGATAGTCAGCGGGTTGATAAACGATTCTCGGAATCAATCGAGTGTCGTGGATGATGTGAAAAAGGTCTCCGTCAAGATCACCGCCACTTAGCTTCGAAGGTAGATCCCGCGGACCTTGCTGTGAGAACACGACGCAGTTGTGCAGTGCCCTGAGCGGCGAACCTTCTGGAACGTCGACTGCTTTAACGACCTGAATATCGCCTGGGTGTAGCGCAGGGGCTCTCGTGATGACTATTCGCTCGCCAACGAGTATGGTTCTCTTTAATTTGTCGTTCGTATCGTAATCTTGTAGCGGAATGTAGACCTCGCCCTCTTTCAGAATATTCCATTCGTCCATGATGCCATAAAGGAGGTAGCCGTTCTTGATTGGAATACGCGCGCGATATTTGATATCCCTCAGACTTGACATAGCTGCCACTTCCACAATGTCGGTGAGGAAGCTGTCCGCGTGGAATGATAGACCCATCTCATTCATTCGCCGAAACAGTGACGGGACTCTCGCGAGATCACCCGAGTGGAAGTACTCTAGCAGCCTTGTTAGCACATATAATCATACGTTCGGGAAGCAGTTCACGGCGATGCCGCCGGGTATGAGGAAACAAACATCCTTTCAGGCCGCACAGTGTGTACTAGAGATTCGGAACTTACCGAGAAGGCTAGCTGCGTTCAGAGGATGCTCCGTCATGAGTTTCAGTTCTGTGACAGCTTCATCTTGGACAGCCATGAAGTTTTCCGCAGGTATACGTAAATCCTCGAGAATCTTGATGAACTGGTGGTTCAGATACACTCTGAGAGGCTTGTAGGCAGCTCCACAGATTTCCAAATCCCTCCACTCTTCTTTGGCGACGTATTTGGTCATACTCTTTCGGGCGTGCAGTTGCTCACCTTGTAATGCAGTATCTAGTGATAGTACGCCCTTCGCACCTCTGAATCGGATCTGAAGCACCGTCGGCCTGAGTGATCTACGGTCCGGCTGGAAGGCGTTCCAAACTTTTTGGAAGAGGTCTAACGACAAGGTTCCGCAGCCGTCACTGAATGTGCGGTTGTTTCTCGTGACGTCGTCCTTCATTTCGTTTACATAGGCGGTTTTTGAGATTGGCACAGAGAATGTTGTATCTAAATGTCGACGAACAACGTCAGCATACACTTCACATACATTTTGTACCGGATTGCACCCTACCGGAGAACGCCTGCCCTATCCTGGCCGCGCACTTTGCGGCGCAATGAATCTGAGAAAAGTCACCCAAATCGCGAATGCTCAATGAAGTCAGTACATGTCCAACACGCAATTCGTGCGTACTTACACATCTCTTGCACAGACGATAATGCCATCTTTCTTGAAAGGAGCCATGAACCAAGCTTCATGAGTACGGAGTGACGCATGGGAAAAGCCGAGAAATTGGAATGTATGTCCGGCAACCGTGATACCCGTTCGAAGTACACCTCGAAAGCGTTCGTAGACTCTCTCTTGCGATGCCCGTGGGTCATGGAATACCGGCAACTCGTCCTCATCTGCGAAGAACACGCGCATGAAGAACTGGGTGTGGGTTTTGTACTTCCTCAATATACGATTGGAGACGACCCAGTCAGGGCCGCGTAGCAGGATACCTGAAATATGACTTTAGTATTGCAATTTGCAGTATTGGAAGTCTACATACCGGTAGGTGTGACCGTAGCCTTGTATGTTAAGGCGAGGTGATTTTGCTTCTTTTGTTTGACGTCCCAGGTCCGGGAAAGCTCTTCAAGACGTTGACAACATTCGATGCTTTCATCAAGAATGCGCTTGATGGTCTTGATCATAAAGCTTTTCGCTTCGACAGCTGGTGCAGGCGTTGGTATTCGCTTTCCTCTGCGACTGACTGCGTTTGAAGTAAGATCTGCCGCCTTAACCCCCGGTGTAGGCGTTGGTATCCGCTTCCCAAGGAGACGAACTGCGTTTGCGGTGAGTTCTGCACCATGCTTCTCAGCAGCATTTTGTACCACCGGTATCAGTTCCATCATCTTCCACGGGGCGATTGTACCCTCTAGCATAAGCGCTGTCAGTTGGTAACGGATATTGAACGTGAAGGTCTGCGGAAAGGATGGTCCACAGTCGCTAAGCATCTTATTGACGACTGCATACTCGTGTTCAATACTGCCCGTCAAAGCGGTGGGCTCCATGGTCTTCATCCATTTTGTGTTAGGTCCCGCGAAGAAGGGCTTAACAAAGGTCCAAGCAAGATCAACGCTTCGGGTGTCGGAGAAGGCGATCTTGTAGACCATACACAAAGCGGAGTTCATGTCGTGGGATTTACTCAACTTGCATAGCCTCTGTAGCCGGAGAACTGATTTTGGCGGCTTGATGCCGAGTCTCGACAATGCGGCAGAGATGTCGTTCGGTGCTTGCTCACCGGCATACAAGTGTAGATCATTGGTCGATTGAATGTCGTAGAACTTCGGTGGAGACTTGAGGGTGAATGTTATCGTTCCGTGTTGGCCATTGCCGCGAGACGGAACGATGTGCTCTATAGTAGCATAATCAATATCAATTCTGCAATGCCAGTTGAAGGCTTCGGCGGTTTCTGCCCGGAGGTAAATCTGTTTGGGTAAGCAGCCGTACTAACATTGACATATTCAATGTAGAAGATTATACCTACCACTAAAGCATTCTTGCCGAACGTAATGTAACCTTGCCTTTTGTCCTTGAGCTTCTGGTCAAAAACGAGCTTTCCAAGGTGGTCGTAATCCCAGACGCCTGTCATCAGGGTACGGAAAGACAAAGTCGACCCTCCCGGACGCTGAAGTTTCGCGATAGGCGTCGGACTTTTGAATCTTTTGGCCTCTTCTATCTCTTGCTTCTCTCTGAGTGACTTGAGTTGGAGCGGATCTTCCCGACGCTTGTTACTTTGGCGAAAGTCGAGCGGCTGATTTCCAAAATAAAGAGGTTGCAGCGCCTGGCGTCGGCCCTGACTACCGCGTATATCCAGAAATCGATTCCCACTGCTAACGCTCGGTACAGTGAGAATGGCGAAATCATTGTGTTGACTGGAAAACTTTCGAACGTCGAATGCGAACACGTCGACGCTGTGGAGAGCGTCCTGAAGGGTGTAACGTAAGAGGACGTGATTGGCGTCTTTGGGAACCTAATGTTACGGCATCTGGTTAGCGACTGCTTTCCTATTCGCGCCCAGCGGTTACTAGCTAAGGTATTGCTGTGAGCTTACTTTCGGAATATAGATGTCCATCTTGAACGACGGTGTTACCTCGAAAGGCTGGCTCACCAGACGTGTGAGTGATAAGCTTTATTGGCACTCCGAAGTCGCGCGAATTAAGGCAAAAGAGTAGACAATGTGAGGCAGGAAGCTACAGGTCGCTGCGAGCTCGCTGACTGGGGAAGTGGGGATGGCGCTAAGGGGATTGGGCAAGACGCGTTCTCACGTGCGCGTTGCGGGGTTACCTTTCACCTTTGAATCTGAACCACAGCAGACCGCTGATAACAGGCACGTAATTGTACTGTGCTGCTTAGTCAAAACTGCAACCATTGTGGATGTGAGAGAATTCGGCTCTGCTGCCTAGTCCTGTACGACAGTCGCGTAAAAAGGCCCGCATGCGGCGTGTCACCATGCGACAGGTCGCTCTGGAGGAGGGTTTACCAAGACGCATCTCTCCCACAAATGGCAGCGATCATCCCACGCTATTCACGACTCATACAACGCAGCCATCCGCATCTGTACGTATCCCCACGCGGTTACAGGCTCGTACTTCTTCGGCTTCTCTTCATCCCAACAACCTGGCAACGCATCGATAACTGTATCCATATTTGGTGTCGCGAACACAGGGATTGAGTAGCGATCTGGTACTACTATCTCCCTGTCGTTCCGTTTGCCGTCTTCAGTGACCTTTTGAAGGACCGGAGGTAGGCCAACACGATGCACACTGCTTGTCCAACGATCGTTGCTCCATCTCGCCATGAGATCTCCGATGTTGACCAACACAGTGTCCTCGATAGGCTCTGCAGCACGGAAAGTACCTTGGTTCGCAGGTTCCTGTACTTCAAGTCCTCCAACGTTGTCCTGGAATAGCAAAGTGAGCGTGCCAAAGTCGGAATGCGCGTTGATCCTGCTGCGCTCATTGTTGCGTAGCTGTTCGGCGTCGATGGAGGGGTAGTGAAGAAGCCGGAGTTGGAAGAGCGACTGCGAATGGGTCGGAGAGAGGCCTGGTGCTGGAACGTTGAGAGCGATGGAGAGAGCGTCGAGGATGCTGTGGATGAGACTGGCGCACTCGACAAAGTACTTCTCCATGAATGCGCGAAAGCCTGGGAGCTTATCTTCTGGAAGCCAGATATTTGGCTGAGCCTCATCTTTCACGTTGCCAGACTCAAAGGACTCTTTATAATCAGGCGTCTGCCTCTCATTAGCTTAGACCATGGAGAGCGAAGATGAATGCAATTAACCTCCCTCAGCTTGTTCAGCTCATTGATATCATAAACCCCTTGACTAACCTTCTCCACTCCAGGCGCCGAGTATCCACGATGATGACTGCCACCCGGCGGATGCGGAGCCAGCATCTTGGTCTCAAGCGGTAGATCGAAGAATTTCTTTGACCAAGCAAAGCACTCCTCTACCAGCTCCTTCCTCACGCCATGGTTTTTCAGGTAGACAAAGCCCATACCACGAAATGCATCGTCAATCTCCTTGGCGATCTTCTCCTGATCCTCCGCTTCACCGTGCAGGAACGCGCCGAAGTCGACGATAGGTATGCCGCTCATCTCGTCGATGGCGAGAATTAGAAAGTGAGAAGTGGTTGTCAAGCAGAACGAACAGAGAAAGAGGCAGGTGCTGACTCGCGGGTTGCTTCTGCTTTGGGTAGATAGGTAGGAACGGCAAGCACGCAGTAGTACAGCGGCGGGGTCAGGTCATCGGCAATGCGGGGTACGTTCAGTTGTCGCGAGATGCAGTAACGGATCAGCGTGCGTCAGCGCAATGCGTCTGAATTGTGAGGTGTTTCTCGATACATGCTTCTGCTACGGGATGTAAAGGGTTAGAATGCGGCGAAGACTGCTACCAAGCACGTGATGCTTCCTGGAAGCCATCATCAAGAACAGACCAACACCAACCCTAGAATGCTATGCATACCATTTGTCCCATGCCCGGCCTTACGTCCCAAAACGATTTTGATAATCCATCTGTCCCTTGACCGTACCGCCGTACCTGATGCCCTTTGGTTCCACCGTAAGTCCCTTCGCCATCAAGAATCATACACGCCCGCTTCCCATGGAAACTTACGACTCTCCAAACATGTCTGCCACGCCTGCCAATCCGGGGCTGGTACCTCGGACTATAGTTGGCTGTTGGTCCACACTCATGTACTGCTCCATCATGACAGTCCTGGCCTTGGTCTTCGTCGATCTCTGTATTTTGCCTTGCTCGTGGATACTGACACCCTTGATGCTACTCATGAGATCTAGTACGATGCTGCGCTGCATACGTTCGTCCGACCTGTTCGCTCCACGGAGCTTTGCAAGACGGCGGTCGACGCGATACTGGTCACCCATGCCGGGTAGAGACAAGATGATCGAGCGCGGTATCTCCTCGTCCAGGTGAATGATGCCGGCGATGAGTGAGGCGAGCTCTTTCTGGCAGTCCACAAAGTATGGCTCATGGAGGGACGTAATGGCCGATTTGAGGATGTCATTGCAGAAGTAGTCCCGAATGGGCGACTTCTCCTTGAACCGTGGGAGCAGGGTGCGCAATACGCGGACCATGGTGACAACGGACCTAGTATCGCGATAACGTATTGTTGAGTTGCAGAAGAGGAGGATAGGCTCGAGGACGGCAGGCGTTGAGAGAATGAAGTCGCACATGGGCGGTGCGTTGGCTTCTTTTCGACTGTGTTCATCGTGACGGGCAAATTCTGTGACCAGGTCAGCTTTTAGTCATCAAACACGATTAGGAGACTCGGTACTAGAACCGATACCCCAACGCAGATAGAAGTCGCGAAAGGAACACCACCAAGCACGATAAGTAATAGACGACTTACCCTGTCTCGAATCGAGCAGAACAGCGACAAGCGAAACCGCAGCATATGTGAGCTGTCGTAGTATGCTCTCAGTCTTCATCTCGTCCGTCAAGTTGTCGTTCTGCCCCGAATCCGCCACCTGTCGGGCAACCTCGTTCCATTCTCCGGAGATTTTTCGATCCAGCTCTCTGAATAGCCCCTGTATCATGGGTGGCAGAAAATGTGGTCGTAGACGCGCTGGGCAACCTTCAATGAGATGGGTGGATACGGTTAGTAAGACAGATAGATGATGCGCAGTCAGAGCGCCTGCGTGGCCAAACAGGGCTTGACTCAACGGGCCTGGCAGATCTTCTATCCCATAGAAGAAGTCTCGAAATCGCGTTAACGAGTAGAGGATGTAGTACGAGCTCTCCCTAATCTGCCTTACAGTGCCTCGTACCGTCGATGCAAAACCCTCAAACGTCGACTTGGAGCCACTAACTCTTGCAAAGAAGTCGTCTCGGCTCTCTGTCGATATTCCCGCTTGCCAGAAGCGATCAGTCAGTACTCTCCGAATAACTTGCTGTAGTTCTACTGGCAAGTGTGACCAGTTGGCGTCGATATCGTTGAATGCTTGTGCATGGCTCACGAGCTGGAGAAGGTTTGGGAGCAGCACTGGTATGGCCTCTGCCCAGAGCAGCGCAGCAGTCTCGTACGCAGCAGTGCCATCGCGAAGCTTTTCCGTCGATGCTGCCAGTAATGTCTTAGTAAGTCGTAGTGGCAGTTGTTGAGAACGGTCAAGAATTGAGGCCTGCAACGCCTGGCCATCACTAGGCAATTGTTGGTCAGACCAGTCCTGAATGCCGCGGAAGTTGTTCGCAGACAGAAACTCGGGTAATTGGCCCATTCCCAATACGCCACAGAAGGACTGGAATGAAGAGATGGCTTGGGTGAACTCATCGTTGCGCCAAGCATCCTTGACACGGTTGAGCATCTGTCTCATGCGCTCCTCTTGCGTGGCGCGCTCTAATGTTGTACATCTATGTATGATGATGAAAAGGAAAGCGGAGTACGCCATACGTTGGCGTTCGTCAGTCGTAGGATCATTAATCATCTCATTGACCTTGGCCTCTAGTTGCTCGTAGACGTTCATAAAGTCGTCAGCGAATTTCATCGCTAGTTTCTGCATCTCAAGACTGCATATGCGCTCGAGGTCTTTCACAGCATCGGAGTACTGTGGATAGTTCGTGTCATCGGCTAGCCGTACTGTAAGCATATACTCCAAGAAGGTAAGAGCGAATCCTGGGCGGTCGCCAAGGGCTTTCGTTGAGAGAGTTGCCATCAAAGATATTATCTTTCTCGCAACTTCAGGATCTTCGAAATGCGCTTGCAGGATTTGCCTGCCCCACTGCTCGAGCGAGTCTTCCAGGGTATTCCGCGTCCGCTCATCATCTTGCGCGTTTTCGCCTTGCCCTTGCTGCCACTTCATGTACCCCTTGAGTGCAGCTTCGATGACAGTGACCTGCGCATCGACCTGAAGGACTTGTGGAGAGTTCTTTGTGAAGTTTTGGCGCTGGAAAGCAGGCTGATCATGGTACAGGTTCTGGAGCATGTTCGTCGCCTGAGCAAGGATATGCGCCATTGCCTCTACTGGTGTCTTACGAACCAGGACTTCGATCACGTCTGCGCAGAAGCGCCGATAGTTGCCTAGAAAAGCATGACGTTCCGGTACTGTATCAATGTCTTCGTTGAGAAATTGTAACGTGACGTCTTCGGTGTCTTCGGGTAACGATTCGTATCGAATGAGTCGGGCGCAGCACGTCTCAAGTAGCCCGCCAACCATGGAGTTGACGACATCAGAGTCTCGCACGATGCTAGATCGTAACAGCTTGGTCCAACAATGGAGAACAGGTATGGAGACGACGAGACTCGGGTTGCGCATAATGTCGTATAGGAAACCGAATATGCCGGTTAGGTCGCTGCCATCTGGTATCGATTGGGGCTTTTGCTCGATGAATAGTCCGAGGCTGTTGGCCAACTGTCATCATTAGCACGGCGTGACAAGCCTCAAGGATGAGAAAGGGCCTTACTTCTGAGAGTCTCTTGCAGAGCATGTATTTCTGATCATCTATGTCATTCACATCCATATCCGTGAGCGTCCAGTTGTATACTTCTCGCAGGAGTGAAACACTGCCAGGTGTGAACATGGGGCATACAAGCTCCACAAACTCGTCGTCGTGCAGGTGGGTTCGGTTGTAGATCGCTTGGAGGGTCTCGACGGCGGCCTGTTCGTGTTAGCAGCTGTCCATGTGAGTGGATGTAAAGAGTCGACATACAATCTGCATCTCTACGGCTGGGGTAGCCAGCGCCTTGCAGACGGCCTCGATGACCTGTGTTGCAGCGATGGCCTTGGGCATAATCCACGGCATGGCCGCCTTGAGGGCCTGCATAGACTTGATAGCGCTTGTCTTGACAGCTTCCTGGTTCTGGTAGTCCTGCCCCAAGCACCAGCCCAAGTTGTCGCATAGTCTCTTCAGCCATCCTTCGTCTCCACACCGCACATCCAGACTCTTCTCGCGTGTAGGGAGCTGGTCTTGTATGACGGCAAGCGGTGTGAAAATCTCGACACAGGCGCGACCCAGGTCGCTACCTCGAAGGCCTGCGGTAGGGTCTTCGCGATTGAAGACTTCCTCAGAAAGCGTTTCCAGGACGTATAGCACGACAGCCTGGTGGTGCAGAGAACTTGTCCAGAGCGAGACCAGCAGTTCGTCCATATCCAGCCACTCGGCGCCCCAACTGCGCTTCGCAATTTCCGTCCATAGCTGCGCAACCTTGTTCCTGAGGAATGCCGCATCGTCTTCGGACACGTTTTGGGCGAGCTCGATCGCGTAGCCTCGTAACGCTGTGCCTTGGTCCTCTGTGAAGTCCTCCCAGCTGTATTTTATCGAGTGCTCCAGCATAGTAAGACCATAGTAGCGGAGGGGCGCGGGTTGCGAGCGGTCGAGTGCGAGCGTGTGACCATGTGAAGGCGCTTCCGGGTGCCGTTTCGCTTGCTCGAGGTATTCGGTTGCCTGTCGGCGGGTATCATTCGTTGACGAGGTTGCGTATATGGCCTGCAGCGCTTCTAATATCTGTGAGAGGTCTGAGTCGCCGCTGCCGTTGGACTGTCGGTGTTGCGCTCCACCGCCGCCATTCGTTTGCGGGGCCTGGTCTGCCCCAACGTTCATCGTGCAGAGGGCGTCTCTAGCCTCGGTATGTAAAGACGTGAGGTCAGGTGAGTCTGGCGCGAACTGCACGGGGATATTGTAGCAATGTCGTGTGCGTCGTGTTCTGGATTTCGAAGATTCGGGCGGAAGTTGCTGAAAGCGGAAGACGTAGAGGGCAAGGATCGTGGGTAAGGAAGCTTTGGCGCCCGGTGTCTGGGACTGACCAGAGAAGATGGCGGTGTAGCGAGTAAGCCCAGATTCATTGACTCACAGGCCGGGACGTGGTACGCTTTATTTCGAGGGTCCAGCAAGGCAGTCGAGGCCTCTATTCACGTCGCACGTTCCACAGACGCGTTTTGCAGGCTGCAGTCCCAAAGGCACGTCACGTCGACGCGATGTCAGCTGCTTTGCCGCCAGAACTAGGCTCGTCGCTTCCGAACTAGTCTATATCCAATACATGTATCGCTATATACAAAATCATAAGTCTATCGTAAATGCTCCCCGAACACCTTGACGAGTACACAAAGTCGTCTAACGCTTATGTTTGCCCAAATGAATCATATGC